GTTTTCCTGGAGTCCTGATTTTTGATTCTGAGATCTCTGGCTCTTCTCTCCTGCCTTTGCCTTTTGTCTTGCTTCTTGACTAACATGGTTCTTGAGGTCCTGCACTGCCCTTCTAAGTCACAGTACCTTGGCACCGTGACACGTAATCAGTGCTGACTTACTTCCCCTGCAGAGCGCGGAAGACAGTAAATAAAGATCAGCACCATCTAGTCTGACTTGGACATGATCCTTAGATATTCTTGTCTGTTCTCTCAATTTCATCACATTCAAAATGTATTTTTGGAGACAACTAGAGATGTGGGACTCTCATACACTCTTGAACAGAGTCTCATCCTCCTCTCTCTGGAGCATGAGCAGCTTTGGCAGACATGCATTTGGAGAGATGAGACGAGGACCACTCTCCTAGCCTACAAAATAACTGACCAACAGGATAACACAAGTCAAGGCAGATCACTCTCACATCCATCTGTCTTCATGGCCTCACTGTCCACAGAGCGCTGGAAATAGCTCATGAATTAGCACGTCGCTTGGGACTTCAGTACAAAATGAACGGTTTCTTTAATATCTATTTGAGAGGCTCCGTATCTCCTGGCTGAAGGGCTAAGACATGAAACTCCAGCTAACTGTTCACGGCTACAAAGGCCGTCTGAGTGGAAAAGGCAATTCAGAAGAGAAAGAGTTGGGGAACCAGCAGTTAGCGTAATGGCTATGTCACTGGACTCCCACGTAGTCGACCGCAGTTCGCGTCCCGGACCCGGTGGCTTAGAACTCATGCCGGGCGCGTGTGCGTGCGTGCCCAAGATCCCGAGAGGAGAATGGAGGAGAAGGGATTGCGGCGTGACCATCCCCCCTGGGGGGTGATTTCTCGCTCTCTGTCTCTATGTCTCTCTCTGTCTGGTGAGCGCACACGCCCTATAGTGAAAAACCTCTCCAAAAAAAAAAAGAAAAGAAAGAGTTGTCTGTGGTCCAGAATATGTAAGCAAGACTTTCCAAAGTGACAAACTTGAATGAAGCCCTGCAAAGAGGTGTGTTACTAACTCTGCCACCATCGTGTTCTGCTTCTCACTGTTAGTGGAGTCTGGCAGTTGCTTTGCCTCCTCAGAAGAGAGATTACTTACAGAGTCTAATAATACAAATCCTGAGAATATACACTTCTGCATAAAACAACTCTCAAAAAACTACTCTGAATTCCAAAGATCCTACCAATAGAGTTGAACTTCTCTGTGCGTGAGTGTAGCTGTCCTGCTCCCCTGACAGCTTCCCTCCTCCCCCATTTAGATGATAAATACCTGGGGGCCTGGGACCATGTGTTTCTTATCCTTACTTTGTAATTCCCGATGGATAAGCCTGGCCTGATTCTTACATTGTAATCTAATCACTGACTGAGCGGTCCCGTATTTGTCGAAGGTGATGGATTAGCCTTTCAGACGCCCCAGCCCTAACAGCACCGGTGGTTTGGGCCGTTCCCATCAGCCGCCTTCCCCTGCTCTCTATTTCTGTTCCAACCCAGTGTGCTGCTGCTCACTTTCCTTGATCACCCCACTTTCATAGCACATGAGATACACTCTGAAGGAGATGTCAAGACTTCCCTCAGGAGTACGGGCCTCCCTTTGTGGCAGCGCACATGCGTGAGCCGGGAGTTATGCACATTGGTAGATAAGATCTCACCAGCTACAAAGAAAGCCTTAATTGAGAGCACCCAAGTTAATTTTAAAACCCACCAAGTTCATATATTCTTACTTTTAAATTTTGTGAATGTTTTTAACCATTATGTTTTAAGTCAGTCAATATAGTGAAGCGCTGTTCACATTCACTTGAACTCACTTTTTTCTAATTTACTGAAACATTTTTTTTATTCAGCTATTGTTTTTAATGAATCCTTTTCTCTGTGGGTCTCGTGTCCAAACAGGCTATTTTCAATATGTGGGCCTTGATATAGATAATTGCTCTCTCCCCTTCATCACTCTTTGTGATCCACCTTTCATTCTGTTCAACTAACAACTGGTTGCTTTGTGCCTTTGAAAAATAGCATATAGGTATTCCTGGAAAGAATTAGTAAAAATTACCAAGTGAAATTCTGTATAATTGTAATCTGTTTTTCGTGACCTATTTTCTTGAAATCTGATTCAGGGTAAATATAGATGTCTATTCACTATTAGTGTGGTAGAGATTCATTTATTTAACTCTAAACAATTATTTCTTGACTTCCTACTATGTGCCAGGTAAATTTTCCAGTGCTAGCCATGAGCAGGCGGACAAGGACCCTGCTGTTACTCAGTACCTTCTAGCAGGGGTTCCAGTGGAAATACAAACAGCAAATAATAATGATAAATACATACACTGTACAGATGGCAACTGATGCTCTGAGTTTTCTTTTCCCTGTACTGTTGCTTCAAGGCCATATCTGTAACCTCATTGCCTGTTGTGTTGAGTTGGATGTAGTTTTGAGGTGCGGCCCCCATCTGGGAAGAGGCATTTAAGGGCCTTATCCTGGCTCCTAGCACAGAAGAGAAAAGATGGAGCAGTGCCCGGGAGGGTCAAGTTTCTCACTGTTAAACTGGAATTAATGGGCTTTACTCAGCCAGCTCTGGTGCCACCGCAGTCATAGCACGCTCCGCAACGCTGAGGCCGTGTGGGGTTTGTGTCCCATGGTCTCCCCATGCACAGCGATGCTTGCCTGTGATCCGGGCTGCCTGAGGCTGGCGGGAAGGATCACAGCATGACGACACCATGAGGAGTGCCTGCCTCTCTCTTTGTCCCTGTCTCCCACTCTCATGGAATGAACTTCTAGAAATCAACCAGAAAGTATGGGCTATCCAGCCAGAATCACAAGGATGAGGATTCATTTACTCAGCAAATGCTTAGTCAGTACTGTTTCAGTCAGGGTTCTGTTATGTTCTGGGCTTTAGAACTCCTACATGCATACCCTCACCTACCTCATACTCTAGTTGGAAAAATACAGACACAAAGTAAATTATCACCAATACTTACTATTAGTCATATTCTTAATAATGTTATACTATAATAAAAATACATAGTAAGTACAAGGGAAGCACCATGAAATAACAAACTGTCTGCCTACGGGGCAGGCTCCTCATCCAGCAGCATCTAAACTGAGTTTTCAAGGAAGTTCAGCACCTTTATTTATTCAGCCAGTGTCTACGGAGTGCCTTCTGCGTGCCAGACATTGTTACAGACATTGTAAACACTGTCCTGAACTAGACAAAGTCCCTGCCTTCTTGGCAGTTGAGAAACAGACAAGTCAATGTTTTGTTAGGTGGTGATACACGCTAGGCTGAAAAATAAAGTAGATTAAGAAAGAGAAAAAAAAGCAGCAAGAGATGCTATTTTAAATAGGGTGATCTGGGAAATCCTCTCTAATGACAGAATATTTGAGCAGAATCCGGAATGCTATGAGAGCAAGAAGCAGGGAAGCCATTTCAGACAGAGGGAGCAGCATGATCGAGGGTGTAATAGGTGAAAGCAAAGTATCCTTGGTGCTGGGGGGCAGTGTGGGCATGGGAGAGAGGCTGGGAAGGAAGGAAGAAGGGGCCAAACGCTGAAGAGTCATGTGCACCCTGCTCAGGAATGTGAAGGTCTACTCTTATCATCTGAGGAAAGAAGGACTAGATTTCAAGGATACTTTAAGAAGAAAATGGCATGGAACCAGCAGTTAGTGTAATGGCTATGTCGCTGGACTCCCACATAGTCGACCGCAGTTCGCGACCCAGACCTGGTGGCTTAAACTCACGCCGGGCGCGTGTGCATGCGTGCCCAAGATCCCGAGAGGAGAATGGAGGAGAAGGGATTGTGGTGTGGCCATCCCCCCTGGGCGGTGATTTCTCGCTTTGTGCGAGCGTGTGTTCCGTAAAAAAAAAAAAAAAAAAAAAAAAAAAAAAAAAGAAGAAGAAAATGGATGATTCGATTTTTTTTCTGGGTTTGGTTAGGTTTGGTTTCTTTTTTGGAAAAGTATCTCCAGCAGCAATATGCAAGATGAACCTAAAGTAGAAGCACAGAAAGCAGTTTTAGTAGGACAGGTGAGGTTATAACAGGGCAGGTGAGGTCTTCTCTTCCCTTCCCTTCCTAGCTTTCCCCACTCAGGGCCTTGGCCTGGATGCCTGAGCTAAAGGTACAACTGAAGGACAGATTGATATCCTTGGGTCTCTGGTGGGGAAGGGGCCAGGAATGGAGGAGCCTGATGGCGGTGAGTGAGAAATTGCAATGAGCATCCTGAAGTGGGAAACAGCAGGTCAGGCCAGTCCAGAGGTTTTTTTTTTCTGAAAGGGGAAAAAGATGGTATACTTAGATCCCTGTTGGATGAGGAAACTGTGGGCCAGGAAGCTGAGGTGGGGCCAGGAGCAAATGACTTAGGGTTGATGATGGAAACAGGAGTTAGTTGAGAAACTTGACCCCAGTGAAGATTGGAATCTGGCTGAGTGTGGGGGTGAGGGGTGGAATCTGAGCATAAACTGATGTTAACTAGATTAAAAAAGTTGGTTTCTCAGGACCCCAGGACTGAAGTTGTGCAAGGAGGGACTGCTGGCAGCACGTGGGACCCTAAATAGAGTCATGAGAGGCATTAATGAACTGAGGGTTGGTCCCAGCAACACTGGACATACAGATGTTTAATAAATGCTTGTGAAACTGAGAAGACATGGGGGCCAGGGATTAGACACCTAAATGTGTGAAGAGCTTTTGAGTGAGGCTGTGTTCCATTCACCGAAGGATGGAGAGAGTGACTGAGGCACCCCAGACAACTTGAAGGTGCAGAGCCCGAGAGGGAGCCTTGCGTCTCAGAGGAGATGGAGGCCAACGTCAGGGTGAAGGACACACTCCCCTAACCCTGAGGACCCAGAGAGTTACCAGATTTCCCCACCAGATTTCCCCACTCCGCCGAACCCCACCCATGGCCTCAGTTTCTCTGGCCCTCAACGCTATCTCCGCCCACTGGTGGGCGGGGCTCGAGGGCGGGGCTCGAGGACGAGGCTGGTAGCTGTTCGGAAGCCTCGAGAGCCATCAGTTCCTACCAGACTTCTGCTGGGCACACGGTCCTACCCCATGGCTGGACACGGGCCCTCAAATATCTACCCTCTTCCAGGCAGTAGTGGGGGTGCCCGCGGAGGGCCAGTGCCCGTGAGAGTTGACACTGCAGCCTGGTTGAGCACCCAAGCTGCCCCTGGCAGGCTGATGGTCCACTCGGGTGTCAGCCCGGGGGTGTGCCCTGGCCCGGAGGTGTGGGGGTTAGCCCCGGGTCCCCAGCCGTATGAATTCTGGGGCGGGAAGGTGCCCTGCGGGCCCCGGTTCAGAGCTGGCGAGGCAGGGGCCTGGTTGCAGAGCCTCTCCGAGGGCTCCATGCCTGGGCCCTACATTGCCCTGCGGTGCATCCCCAAGTTGGCACCGCCAGAGGACGTCTCAGCCGTAGAGAAGGAGATGGAGCAGCTGGCCAAGGAAGTGAGGCAGAAGAGGATGACCCTGGGGTACTCACAGGCCGATGTGGGGTTCGCCGTGGGAGCTCTGTTTGGGAAGATGCTCAGCCAGACGACCATCTGCCGCTTCGAAGCCCAGCAGCTCAGCCTGGCCAACATGTGGAAGCTGCGGCCGCTACTGAAGATGTGGCTGGAGGAAGTGGAGAACCTTCTGGGCATATGCAAAATGGACGTCATCCTGCAGCAGGCTCGGAAGCGAAGGCGGCTGAGCAGGGAGAGACGCATCGGAAACAACCTGGAGAAGCTCTTCCTGCAGTGCCCGAGGCCCACGCCCCAGCAAATCAGCCGCATCGCTGAGTCCCTCCAGGTGCAGAAGGACCTGGTCCGAGTTTGGTTCTGTAACCGGAACAGGATGGCCGATCTGTTCAGCAATGATGCCTCCCCACGGGAGGATGTGGGGGCAGCCGGGCCTCCTTTCCCAGGGCCACCGGTGTGCTTTCCCCTGGCTCCCGGGCTCCATTTCGATTTCCCCCACTGTGGAGGGCCCTGCTTTACCCCACTGTGCTCTGCCCCTTTCCCTGTGGGCAGAGCCCTGCTCTCTGCTCCAGCTGCCGCGCTCGGCCTCCCCAGACTTTCAAACTGAGGGGCCTGCCCTGCTGGGAAGGGTCAGAGTCAGGAGACAAGGGAAAGCTGGGGAACTGTGACTGGGGTTCATTTCGGGGCTTTTAGCCCGTTCACAGTCTAAAGAAGTTAAAAATACAAAGTAGGGGGTGGGAGTGAGAGTTGTTGAAAGAAATTGGGGAGGGAAGTTGAAGTTTATGGCCGTTTCTGTGTTTTTCCCTAGCATTGTTTTTAAGATTCATTACAATATAGATATGATTTCAATGTTTTGTTTCTCTTATTAATTGAAGTTATGTCTTTTATTTCTTATGGCTATCAGTAAACATAGACTCCGGTTATTTCCCTTTTATTTTTAGAATTATTTATTTATTCATTCATTCATTCATTTTAATTCGACCTGAGAGATACAGAGAGGGAAAGGGAGAAAGCAAACCACCAGGTCTGGGATTGTGTGTGAGTGTCCAGCACCTTAACCACCATGCCACCCACTGGGTCCCCAGCTTCCTTTATTTCTTAAAAACATAATATGGAGTGAAAAACTCAAATAACAGAAGACTACTGAGTATCACTTTTTTATTACAAACAAGTAAAACTCTGTGTAAACACAATCACAAAATCCACAACATAGCTCTGGGGAAGGGCTTGAGGAGGGACTAGGAGAGGATCACACAGCCCACGCAGAGCCATCGCTGAGACACGTGAGTTTCCTCGGAAAGTGTCGTTTTTCTAATTCACCTTTCATTTTGAGGGTCCCAGCTTTATGCAGAGTCTCCGTTTAACTCTCCACTTTATATAGTCCCATGGGTTTTCCACAGCTGGACGGCTATAGCTTCAGCCTCAATTCCAAGAAGCTCCTCTGGTTGTCAGCCCCATTGGTTTGTTCCCTGAGGATTCCTCTTGTTTCCTTCTGAGCTCAGGTGATGGCTTTTGCCATGGTGTATCTTTTTTTTTTTTTAAGAATTATTTAATTGTATTTATTCATTTATTTTCATTTGACCAGAGAAAGACAGACACACACAGAGAAGGAAAGTGATAAAGAAAACCACCATGTCCCAGACTCGAACTGTGGTCAGCCATGTGGGAGTGTCCAGCATCTTAACCACCACACCACCTGCTGGCCCCAACATTATATATCTTAAGCCAGTATTCTAACCACTTCTCTGAAATCAGTCTTCTCTATAATAGTTTTCTACTTTGCCTGTGGTCAGTTTTAGTCACCATACACTAAACAGAAATAATTAATTCATCTGCTCCATAGCTGCATGAACTATTTATTGTCTTTGAATTCTATCACTATATAAATTTATATCTTCTTTCTTCTTAGTAATCTTGTTGATCTTGTCAGTTTTTGCTTTCTCTGCTTTTTTTCCTTTGGATCTTGCAAAGGATTTATCTGTTGGTATTATCAAAGACTAAACTTTTTAATTTTTATCCTGTTTGCTACTATTTATGTTTCCCACTTAAATTTAGCTTTTATTTTCATTAATTACTTTTCCCTAGCTTCTACTGGTTTCTTTCATTGTTCTTTTTCTAGCATTTGTTAGAGGATGCTTAGGTTCTTTTTTTTTTTTTCCCACTATCGTGTGGAAAATGGCACTAGTGGGGACAGGAGTGGAAGCCTAAGATCCAGTAAGAAACTTACACCCTGATCTTCCAGCCTCAAGTCCAGGGCTAATTTTACTATCACACAAGTTGGGCGTGACAAAAGCCTCCGCTTACTATTCTCTTCTGAGTCCATAAAAACTCTGACCCTTTACCTTTGCTTTTATTTTATGTGTAGTAAAATATGTAAAAAAAATAATAATAATTTGCCAGGCCAACTAGTGGCATAGTGTTAAGACATCTGGGTCTTACCTAAAACTGTACGGTCCAAGTCCTGGATTGACTTCTTGAAGAACATGCTGGAAGTGTGTGCATGCATGCCCAAAATCCCAAAAGAAGAAATGGAGACAGGTTTGCAGTGTGACCATTCCCCATGGGGTGTACTTTCTCATTTTGTCCTCTCTACCTCACTCGCTCCCTCTCTGTCCCTCTCTGCCAATCTGTTAAGCACATGCACCCTCTAGCAAGGAAAAAAAGGAGGAAAAGGAAGGTATTTGCCTTCATAACCATTTTAAGTATGAGTTTAGTGACATGAATTACATTTTCAATGTTTTACACTCATCCTCACTATCCATTTCCTACATTTTTCATCGGCCCAAATATAAACTCTGTTTTCATTAAGCATTAACTCCGTCTCTCCTCTCCTCAGCTCCTAGTAACCTCTAATTTACTCTATGACTTAGTGGACTCATACTAATTTGCCTTTTTATGTCTGGTTTATTTCACTTAGCATAATATTTTCAAGGTTTATTCATTGTGTAGCATGTATCAGAACCTCCTTTTGTGGCTGAATAATATTCTCTCGTATGGCTATACCACACTTTATCTATTCATCTGCTGCTGGACACTGTGTTGTTTCCATCCATCGGCTGTTGGAAATAATACTGCTGTGAACATTTGCATACAAAAATCTATTTGAGTCCCCTTTTTCAGTTCTCTTAGGTATATATACCTAGGAGTAGAATTAGTAGGTCATATGATAAATCTGTGTTCAACTTTTTTGGGAAACTGATGAACTTTCCCAGTAATGCACCATTTTACACTCCAGCCAGCAATGTACAGGGTTCCAATTTCTCCACATTCTTGTCTACTTATTTTTTTAAGATTTATTTATTTAATTTAATTAATTTATTTACTTATTTTAATTTGCCATGGAGCATGTGTGCTACCAGAGAGAGACAGAGAGTTTTAGTGTCCCTGATGACAGTACCCAGAGGAGGGCTCCAGAGATGTGAAGAAGCTTCATTTCTATACTACAACTTTTTTTATCCTTTGGGTTTACATCACTGTACAAGAAAAACTCTGCTCTTAATGCTTCCATTTAAGAGATTGTTTTAAAACAATAACATCTTCTGGTTTGACCCAAATAAAATAACAGTGAGTCCACAACCTTATTTGGGCAAAAAGCTGAGTTTGTGCCTGGGTCAGAGAGCCCCTTTCCCTCACACAGGCTTCAGGAATCCAGCATGGCGCATGCATCCTTCTTCTTCTCAGGGTCTGAGGAGACACACAGGTCAGTGAAAATGGAGCCAAACTCCAGTTGCATAGATTTAGATTTAGTCGATGACCACTTACGATTAGACAATCCTACCAAAAGTCACACAGCACCAACCCCACTCCTTTGTCTTTCCCAGGGAGCTATTTCAGCACATCGGTCAGTGTTTAATAGCGTGATGAACAGCTCTGATGGTGCTGTGAACGTTCAGCTCCTAAAAACTGTGAGGAGGCATTTATGCTTTATTTGGTTTTGGTTTGTTTGCTTTGGGTTTGTTTGTTTTTGGCAGTCCCTGCAAATATAGAGAAATACTAACAGGCTCTCAATCTCAGAGAACAGCTCCGGGGGTCTAACCCAACTCCTGCACAGCTACGTCATTCACATCCATCTGCTTAAAGCAGCACTGGGTTGTCACCATTCACCCTTAATGTTTGTGATTAATAAACTTTTTCTATTTTTCTATCGCATTCATGAGAGAGAGAAGAGGAAGAAAGCACTCCCTCCCCAGGAGAGTGTGGCCACACCTCAGTCCCTTTTCACCATTTCTCCATCCTGTCAGGATTCTAGGTACACCTGTACCTGTGCCCAGTGTGCCTTTCAAGCTATCAGGGCCAGGGTCCAAGCCATGGTTAGCCATGTGGGACCTGATTCCCCAGGGACAGAGCCCAACCGCTGCACCACTGGGCCCACCCAACCTTCACATAAGTTTAAATGAGATAGATCACCACTGGTCTTTTTGACTTGCTGTGAAAAGAGAAAAGGCTAAACCTAAGATACCTTTGATAGCAAATTGATTTCGGATTTTTCCGAGATTTAAGAATAACATTTAGAAACCTTCCCAGTAATAAGATTACACAAAACTGAGAAGGAACTGCCTTTAGGGTTCGGAGAAAACCAAGAGTGTGGTGCTAAAGGGTTAACAGTGTTACATGCTACAGAGATCAAATAGTATAATAAATCAAGTTAGATACTTCAGTGACAAGGATGCCATTGGTACCTTTAATTAGAACAATTTTAGTGGTGTTAACAGACGCAAATACCAAATAGCTGTCCAAAGTTTTCATATTTGTTTATTTCCCCTTTCTTAATTTTAAAAAATAAATAAATTCCAGCTGCTCTTTTCAATGGATCTTCACTGTCATTCTGAAAATTATCAGTGTTTGCATTATCCTGTGATATGTTTAGACAAGGTGGGTATTCTATACCTGAAGACACTGAACTCCTTAAGATTAGTGAGTTGAGAGAACCAGCAGTTAGTGTAATGGCTATGTCGCTGGACTCCCATGTAGTCGACCGTGGTTTGCGTCCCAGACCCGGTGGCTTAAAACTCATGCCAGGCGCATGTGCGTGCGTGCCCAAGATCCCGAGTGGAGAATGGAGGAGAAGGGATTGCGGCGTGACCATCCCCTCTGGGGGGTGATTTCTCGCTTTCTGTCTCTCTGTCTCTCTGTCTGTCTGGCGAGCGCACGCGCCCTATAGCGAAAACCTCTTCAAAAAAAAAAAAAAAAAAGATTAGTGAGTTGATATATGAGGAATCTTCACAAGTTCATAGAAAATGCATGAATGGGACCAGCAGATGGTGTAATGGTTGCATCGCTGGACTCCCATGTAGTTGACTGCCGTTTATAACTCACGCCAGGTGTGTGTGTGTGTATGTGTGTGCACATACAAAATACTGGGCGGAGAATGGAGGAGAAGGGATTGCATTGTGACCATCCCCCATGTTGGGTAATTTCTCTCTTTCCATCTTTCTTCTTGTCACTGTCTCTCTGGCAACTGCATGCGCCCAATAGCAAAAGCTCTCTCTAAAAAAAAAAAAAATGAAAGAAAAAAGGAAATGCATGAGAAACAAAAAGTTCTTCTAAAACTATGCATAGATTTCAAAATTTTTGCACCAAAATAAATTTGTACATTAATTCTGGTTTTTGTCTTCATGAGTTCTTTGAAGTATTCTCATATGTGTACACTTGCTTTAAAAATGATCGAAAGCCTTTATCACATTTTTCAAAGGGGACCACGACTCTTTTTAAATCTACAGTTTCAGAATCTAAGAAATATCTTCTCTTTGATCACCTTAATTTCAAGAATTTTCCTTTTTAGTACTATTTAATAGGTGATCCTGGTTTTCTTCAAATTGATATTTTCTA